GTTGGGGGCAGGAGAGGAGGTTTTGTTCCCTTTGTTTATCACCTGTGTACTGCCCAGGACCCTCGTTTCAAGTAGCCTGCTTACGTTTCCCTTCCTGAGTCTCTCTGCAGCTTTGAGCACACAGCTCAGCTTCTCTTTTGTCTCCTGAGTGGTAAGGAGGTCTGTCGCAGAGCACTGAGGTGCCCTGCTCCTAAGAAGGGAAAACTGCTAGGGAAGGGACCCTAGCAGTGAGTGAATAAAGAGCCCAGCTGTTGGTTGCCAGGGCAACCGAGCTAACGAGCAATCACACCTGCCAGCAGTTAGCTGATGATAAGGGGCAGGGCCTGGCCCTTATAAACCCTAGGGGCTGATGCCGGAGGCAGTTCCCTACCAGCAGCCAAGGAAGAAGGAGAAGCCTGAGGCAGGAGCAATGTCTGACACTGCTGGGGGATGAAGAACCCCGGTAGGCTTGAGCGTGATTATAGCCAGGTGGCTTGTTTGTGTTATAGCCCAGGGGCTTGTGTTTATGTTGCTGTTTGTTACGGGTGGTTTGGATGAGGCTACTAGGGGTTGGAGGAGGCCTCATAGCGGACCCGCAACAGTGTGGGAACCCCAGTGTCAGTGAGGGCGTAGCAGTTGGGGTGCACAGACCCCAGCATCAGAGGGGCAGCTGAGAAGCCCCGGAGAGGGGGCACGGCTGAGAAGCCCCAGTGCGGGCGCGGTGAGCCCCAGAGGAGGGCGACATTACTGAGAAGGACCTGGAGAGAGGGTGGAAAGCCCGAGCGCCAGGGAGGGCGTGGAGAGAGACCAAAAAACGTCACGCATAGCCCATAAGGCGGGAGTATACAGAGTACTCAATACCAGAGGAGACCTAGAGATAACAGGAGAACCGTGGGCAAGCAGACAAAGGGCAGCCTCCCTATAAAATATATAAGATCAAAGTCGTGGTGGGCGAGAATTGGAGGGTGCTAATCGGTAACTTGACATGGTAAAGGAGGAGAGCACGGCGACCCAGGCCGCCCTCCTGTTACAAGGTCATTTGATTTTTCCTATTAGGCAGCTTCTCATGTGCATGTGTAATTTCCTCCTTAGAACCCGGTGCTGCCTGGCTTCTCTTTCTCTTTGCACCGCCTGTGTGTGCCATTCCCCAGCTCCTCCGCTGCCCCTCCTTCCTCTCTGGCTTTTATTCCCAGCTTTCTCCTCTTAATTCCTCGCCCACATCCTTGGGGACTTTGACCTCTGTGCCAAAGAGCTGAGCGGGTTGCCTCTCCTTTCCTCTCGCGTCTCCTCTTCAGCTCACGGCCCTGGATCAACTCCAGTGCTTGCTGCAAGGGTCATTCCCTCTGCCTTGGCTTTGCCAACAAGACTGTACATGGATAAACAAGTGATCCCATGATCTCCATTATAACCCTTGTTCTTACAAGGTTCTTGGACCCCAGACTGTTAACTCTTTAAGACAAGGAAGGTGTCTGTTCCCTGCTGCAGAGTGCCTGGCACTATAGAAAGAATGCAACCTACACCCCTGCAAAATAATAGTCCTTTTTCGTTCCTTCTCAGCCCTTCCATTTGCAAAGGGTTATTTATTTCTGAGCCCTCTGTTGAAACACCGTATGTTTCAGCCTAGATCTCCCCAAGGCTGTCCTCAGGTATGCACAGATAAGTATGCAAATGACATGAAGATGCCACTTTCAGAAGAAAAAAACCCCACCTGCTGGATGATGCCTATGTCCACATGTAGAGCACTGTTCCTGATGCACTGGGGATTAGTCTTTGAGCTCCTGATGATAGGACCTGCGTTTTTGGTTGTAGTCACATTGGTCTAAGGCAGGGGCAGGCAATTATTTTGGGTGGAGGGCCGCTTACTGAGTTTTGGCAAGCCATTGAGGGCCGCATGACCGGCAGCCTGGGACAGATAAATATTTTCTAAATTTTTAGGGGCCCTGTGGGCCAGATACAATGGTCTGGCAGGCCACATCCAGCCCATGGGCTGCATTTTGACCACCCCTGGTCTAAGGACATAGGCAGGCAAGGTTCTTTGAGCAGATATGATATCTTTTATTAGATAGGACCTGGCTCTTGAGCACAAGCAGTAGAGCTAAAGCTGCTTTAGCTGCAGAGCTCTCCAATCCACTTCCCAGTGCTGGCCAAGATGGTGGGTCTCATTAACAGTGTAACTGAGAGAGGGTGGCAGGGCAACATCCCCAAGTGCCTCCTCTGGGGCAACTGTGTAAAAATAGCAACACTCAGCTGGTGTCTGGGCAGGCCGTTCTCTGCTGTATGGAGCTGCCCCCTGACACCTCTGGTTCCCATGCACACTAGTTCACATGTAGCCTATATTTACAAATACAAAGCAAGAGGGTGGAGATGTTCAGAACTGATGGCAGAGCCTTGAAGAACTGATTTTTGTTTGTTTTTTGGGGGGGTTTTGTTTTTTTAACTTGGAGGAGCAGGTTGCATTAGAAGTTGATGCCCAATTCCTTTTCTCTGGGAGGAGACTAGGGAACCCAGTGACACAAGGCCAGCGTAATCCTGCAACACTAAGAACAGACTGAGGGGCCAGGAAACCTCTCGTGTTATAATTTGCTTGGCTTACACGTCTTGGAGGTAGAGAGAGTCAAGGTCCCCCTACATTCCTAATATGTTCAGGGAGTGCTAACTGGCTATTTTCTCCCACTGTCACCTTCTTAGGAGTTGCCAAGTCAGGTTTTCCCTCCTTTCTGCCTTTCAGAGTCATAACCCCTGGACTGAGACTGATGGTTTTTGTGTACCTATGAGCCAGTGCCTGATGGACGGCTGGGAGGAACAGGCATGTGGATGTAAAGTAAAGTTAGGGTGTGTCGTGTTCTATAGCTATGTTACCAGCTTGTTTGATTTCTCTACCCACAGAGTAGCTAATGTCTGTGGGCCTATGCATAGCTCATGAAACATTCAGGTGTGCAACAAAGCCAAATTAACATTGCTCTGAGAATGTTACATCTACGCTGCTCTGAAGTGTTGTTCTGTTGCTGAGTAACAAGGGCCCTGGGTGGGTCATTAGCAAAGGTTGCTGCTGAGACCTTCAGATCTAAAGCATTGACCTTTCCACCTTTTTAAAATTGGAAAGCAGGACACATGCCCACTTCCCCCTCCTTTCCCATCCCCTCCTTCCCCTTCCCCGCCATGGCATAGCTAGAGCAGAGGTGAGCAGAGCCTGTGGGGGCAGGGGAGGATGCAGACTGCCAGCTGCAGGCTCAGGACTCCCACCCTGCTGCCCACCCCAGGGAGCCCCACATCGGTTGCGCTGCCATAGTGAGGTGCCCTCTGCCCAACTGGCAGCAGCAGGGGGCACAACTGCACCACTGCCACCACTGCTGCTGGGCAGGCAGAAGGTGCCTCACTGTGGTGGCACTGCCATTGTGGGGCTCCTGGGGGAAAGGCAGCAGGGCAAGGAGCCCTAAGCCCACATCTTCTCCTGCCCCATGC